GCAAAGTACTTTACAAATAGATCTCATTTTATCTTCATAACAACCCCTGGAGGTAGGTGCTTTATTATCCCCATTTTACAATGAGGAAACCGAGGCACAGAGCATTTAAATGACTTGCTCCATGTAGCTAGAAAGTGTCTAAGACAGAATTTGAACTCAGTCCTTGCTGACTCCAGGTCCAGGTTTTGATCAGAGAAGAGCCCTGCCCCTTCCTGTGGCCTAGGGAGATTACCATGACAGCTATGCGGTGGATGGACTAGAGGTCACATGGAAGATATTATAAAAGTGCTGGTAAGTGGTGATGAGATCCTGAAGCAGTGTAACGCCCCTGTGAGTGAAGAGACAGGGCTATTCAAGGTAGTTTGTGTGGAGGAGTTCTTTCTGTAATAAAATAAATGCTATATAAACATACATAATACAAATATTAAAATAAAAATAAGGCCCAAGTATCATATCAACCAGTGTATTTCCTTCCCCTATTCACTCCCAAACTCCCGTATCTCAGAGAGGGATACAGCAGGCAGCCAAAGAAATGGGCTCAGTCTTTGGAAGCACCCCACATCCAGCTTCAGTTGTGATACTCCCACGCCTTCCTAGGACCAGGGTATTGAACAGCCAGGCAATGATGCCATAACAAGTCGCTACAGACAAGTTTTAAAAATATTTTGATACATTTAAAGAGGATCTCGTTAGGTATTTTAGGGGCTGTGCTTCCAGTGATAACAAAACCACTGACACTCCCCATGCAAATAGAAAATTAAATTGTTATGATCCACCTGGAAATTTGAAAATAGGTGAAATATGGGATTCTCTTAAACGAAGTTCTTTTCATTCCTATGTTCTTCACACTTTTGCCATCATCTCGGTTCCCTTCTTTTCCTTCCCAGGGCCAACACTCCTACTTGGGCCCTGGTCATCATACAACTTAATTATTGCAATAAATTTCTGAATAAACCTTCCCCTTGAGCTGGTATTTTGATCTGAAGGCCATTGGTCAGCTCTGTTGTAAAGGAAAGGATATTGGTTTTGGAGAAAGACAACACATTTCTGGATTTGGGAGTTTATATCACTGGTCTGTCTATCCAAGTTATCTTTCCCATTACCTCCTCCATCCCAGAGCTTCACTTGGGGGAAAAAAAAGCTGGGTCCCAGGTACCCAAACAAGTCAACTTCATCTCCACCCAGACTTGAGCCAGCCTTACTGTGGTGGAAGCTGACATTCAAAGCCTGACTCTTTAAGGCCTCACAGTGAGGCAAGACTAGGAATACAATGGGTGGATGTTTGCAGAGAGATTTGGGGACTGATAAAAGAAACAATTTCCTAAAAATTAGAGCTATCCCAAAGTGTAATGGTCTGTTTAGAAAGTAATGCATGTAGTAGTAGATAGAATAACTCCATCATTGGAGGTATTCAAGAAGGTCCCAGGGAATCATTTCTCAGGATTATTATAAAAGGAATTCCTGTGCAAGTATTGGTAGGATTAGCATGATCTCTAAGCTCTATTTCCAACTCTGATATTCTATGACCTGAGTTTTGCAAAGTGCTTTCAGTCATCACAACCCTGTGAGGCATGTTGCTCAAATGTTATTATCTTCATTTTATAGAAAGAGAAACAGAGGTTCAGAGGGGTTCAGCAACTAACCCAAGGTCATACAGCTAGTTAAGTGGTAGAGCCAAAACCTGAAATCAGATTTTCTGACTCCTATGTCTAGTGCTCTTTTCATTAAGCCACACTGTCTGATTCGTGGTGGGAGTGGTGAGAAAATTTATTATTAATAACCGATGATTTGGGGAGATCCAGAGTTCCCCCTTTTTCTATATTCCTCATTTCAAAGTTCAGCTCTGAAGATTGAACTTTCTCCTCTATCAGATCTCACCCAACTTTAGAAGGAATCTCTAATCTAAGGTGAATTCCACCCAATCAAGCTTGGGTGGATGTGGATCCTTTGTCTAGATTGCCCAAGGCTGGAGGTGGTCTGGGTATAGGGATAGTCTCTCCAGGACATGTCACTCTCAGCCCCTCATTCTAATATTTGTTCTCTCATTAATTGTTAACCAGAGTTGATTGTCACCCTCAATAACATCCCTCTTCCAAGGGCATATAAGCCTTCAGCCTGTGTCATAAGGGTCTTTGACATGAGAGTGCCACTGACCTCTTTTTATTAAAATGCTGGCATTATTAATAAAATAACTAGTTACCCAGAAATTGTCTCTCAGACTTTTTAAATGTTACAATATGCAAGTCACCTCACTTTTCTAAGCCTCGATTCCCCCATATATAAAATAGGAATGACAGTTACTGTTGGGAGCTGTTGAGACAGAGACAGAGAGAGAGAGAGGAGACAGAAAGAGAGACAGAGAAATCAAGAAGATAGGTCAGATATATAGATGCATAGATACACATATAGCATTTATTATGTGCCAAGCACTGTGTTAAGCACTGGGGATACAAATGAAGGTAAACAACATGGTCTCTGCTCTCAAGGACCTTATCATCTAATAAAGGAAGACTACACATAAGGAGATCAGGGTTCAAACCCAAAACAAGATAGATCCAGTTCTAAAATTAGTTGCTCCAATCCTGTTGAAATGACTGTATGGGAAAGAAACAGGGGTACTTACTTGGGGGAAGGGGAAACAATAGCATAAGTAGCCACAAGTCAGGTAGGAAGAAATAATAATTTCAGCTTCCTCCAGGAGACTAAGAAGGATGAACATTAAAATTCAGGAAGAAAAGATCCTTTGGAAAATAACACATGGATTATGTCCACGGACACTGTACTAGCAAAGTTTTAGGGGTTTTTTTTTTTTCCCCTACTCTCTCTTCCATCAAATGTGCTGTATTTGGGATGGTACAAATAAGCACAGGGGGCTATTTTGGATATTCCCAGGACAGATGAAGTCAGGAGTGCCTGGGCTCCAAAATGAGGGACTTCAAGTTCTAAGCCTGGCTTAACAACTAAAAGCAAGGCCCTCTGTCTCTCTTGCTTCACTTTTCCCAGCTTCAAAATGGTGCATGTATCACAAGAACTTAGAGCTGGAAGGGATGTTAAAGATCATCTAATCCAATCTTGTTTTTTATTTTTTACAGATGAGAAAACACGTCCAGAGGTGAAGTGATTTGCCCAAAGTCATACATCAAATTGGCAGCAGAGCAGGAAATAAAACTTAAGTATCAATTTTATCCATTGCTCATTCCATTAAAACTTTAACCAGGCCCCTCAGCTATGGGGACACGCATGTAAGAGACAGGTCTAATTTAATTATACATAAACTGAGATGCTTAGCCACACATTGCTTTTATAAATCCTTGAGAACAGCAGACTCAGCTTCCTTTCTCAATCTCATGGAATATACCCCCTAGAAACTAAAGAAAATAAAAATGGAGAAGAACGAAAACCCCAGGGGGGGCATCATGAATCAATGGTGATTGAAAGATCTCCTTTCCCAGATCTGCAAGGCTCTAAGGCCAAATGTCTCAGGACCTGGTCTTCTGCTTGTGGAGTTTGCTAGGTCATTCTGGTATGGGAAGATTCCCTGAAGTGGTAGGTGGGACCTTTGGGGATTGAATGGGTAGAAAGAAAGGACATGGAGGTTGGGTGAGGAGAGGCAGCTCTGATGGTTCACTGGCTCTCTTTCCCTTCTATTAGAGTTATACTCAGTTTATAAGTAATACAGACTTTTCTTGAAGCTGAGTGGTTGTCACATATTTTACTCCATTCATTCCTTCAACAAGAATATAGTAAGCAGGCCCTGCTTGATGATGACGATAAGGATGAAAAGTATTGATAACTATATGTGCCAGGCCCTTGGGATGCAAAGAAAAAAAAAACAAATGAAATAATTCATGCCCTCAGAGAATTTAAAATCTATTAAGGATATGGTGACCACTAGCTATGATAGCAGCTAGACTGTACGGTGGATAGAGTGCCCAGCCACGACCTAAATTAAAATCCAGCCTCAGACACTTACTAGCTTTGTGACCCTGGGCAAGTTCCTTAAACCCTGTTTGCCTCAGTTTCTTCATCTGTAAAATGAGCTGGAGAAGGAAACAGCCAACCACTCTGGTATCTTTACCAAGAACACCCCAAATGTGGTCTCGAAGAGTGGAACACAACTGAACAAAAAAGAAATGAGAGAGTAGTATGACAGAACCAACATTGGCTCTGGAGTTAGAAGACTGGTTTTGTGACCACGGATAATTCACTTTGAAAGCCACAGTTTCCCCCTCTATAAAATGAGAGAATTGAGCTAGGTAATTATAATGGTCCTTTTTTCAGGTCTGTTATTTTAACGTTCTATGGTTAGAAATGGAAAGTGGTGGGTCATTGTTTCCATGGCCTAAATAGCATAAGTGTGAAGGCTGTCTTCTGTCAGCATGTAAATATGTGTGTGAGTTGTATGGAGGGTGTATGAATGTATCAGTGAGTGAATACGTGCAACTGTAAATAAATAGTGGGTGTCTCTGGGAAAGCATGTGGAGGAGACTAGGTAAAAGGATGAGAACAATTTATCTGTGTGTGCAAGTGTGTGTTATGACAAAGTGTATGAAGGTATCTGTGTGTGTGGTCAAAGGCACTTATGTGGGGCTGTGCATCTGCGTCTGTCGGTACATGATGGTGGGAAGGAGGCTGTAGATGTGAGCATGTGTGTATGAAATCTCACTGAGAATGAGTGTGGATGTGCGCACATCTGAGTAAACCCTTCTTTTCCGGCAGAGCTAGCTATAGGCTGCTAGCACCATCAGGGAGTTCTCGGAGTTCACACTGAATGTTTCGAAGTCCAGCGAGTGAAAGACGTGGTAGGAAAGGGACGCAGAGCTCACCACCTTTAGACGGCTTTCCCCTCCCCCCCCCGCCTTTTTTTCTCCTTTCCAGGGCTCCAACGGCCGAACATCTCTTCCCCCTCTCCCCCGCCCTTCCCCGCCATTTCTCTAGTCTCTACCGCCCTTCTCCCTCCCCCAAAAGCTTGTCCAGGCTGATCACGGCGAGGGCGGGGAGGACGCCAGAAAGACCAGAGAGGATTCCTCCCCTTTCTCTGCCCTCATTCCCCCTTAAGAAGATGCCAGGAAGCAGCCAAGGAATCAGACCACCTTAATAGGAGAGTAATGGCTGGGCTGGCAGCCTAGTCCCACCTCTCCTGTTCCTGCTCCTGCTCCTCCTCCTCTCCCTGCGCTGGGAGAGAGTGAGAAAGAGAGAACCAGAGCGAGTCTGGCAGGGTTGTCACTAGCTGTTGCCATGACAAGCATTTTCTGAAGAAAGATCAGCCGTTGAGACCGTCCAGAGCTGGGGGCCCACTAACTTGCCAGGACAAACCCTCTGCAAAGAGTAAGGGCCAACGAAACCCACCCCAGCCTCTCCTCCACCCGTTTTCTTCCAGGGCTCCCAAGGACCTTCTCCCTTGGAGGGCCAGAGTAGGAGACCCAGCCCACTCTCAGACCCGAACCGGGAAGGCGAGCAAGCAAACAGGCGTCTTTAGCAATTATTACTATATTAGGAGGGCCGGTGGGTGGTCCTGCCCACCCCACCCCTTCACTCTATGGAAGCCCGCTGGGAGATTCCCGCTTGGAGAAGTCTGGATTATTGCTAGGAGGAGAGGTAGGCTTGTGGAGAATGAATTGACTTGGGCTTTTCAAACTTTGCTAGCTTCTTTCCTCTTCCCATCCCTCCTGACACACCCCGGACTCTCCCTTCTTATCATGCCTTGGGTGGGTCAGGGTTTGTGAGATTGTTTTGTTTGAGATTTGGTGGTAGTGGTGGGGTAGCCGTTTGATTTGGGGGTGCAAAGATTTGTCCAGGCTTCTTTTCCCAGGCTCAGTTCGGAGGCACCAAATGATTGGTTTGTTTTTCTTCTTATTCCCTTTCAGTTTTGGTCAGGGCTGGGCCACAGAGAGAGGAGGAGGATCGGGGTGAGATTGAGGGGCTGGGGTAATGCCTCTTTTCTTGCAGTCCGGAGCTGATGGGGGCAAGGGGTGGGGGTGGGGGGTAAAGCGCTTTGGAAAATGCATATATTTCTCCCCCCCCACCCACCTCCCCTTTGGCTCGGGAATGAGACGCAGAATGGAAAACTGTTGCAAAAATATTTTCCGCGTCTGTTCCTTTTCTTGAAAGCCCCAAAGAGAGAGATGGAAAAAAATAACCCGGTGAGAAATCTTCAGCAGGGAGGAGGAGCCGCAGTGGGGACTGGAAAGGGGTTGCAGAGGGGGGTGGGTGGGAAAGGCAGCTGGGGGGAGGTAGGGGGGTGGGGGGGGTTGCAAATTGAATTTCTTTGGCTTTGCCTAGAAACCTCAGCAGTTTTCTCTGTGCTTCTTGCAAAACAGTCTCAGAACGCTTCAGACTTTCAAGTCTATAATTAGCTATGGAAAAAGCAGGGAGTTCCCTTGTACCGTTTTGTGTGTGTGTGTGTGTGTGTGTGTGTGTGTGTGTGTGTGTGTGTACACGCGCGCGTGAGTGTGAGACTGTATTGTTGAAAACCAACTGTAGGAGTGTATTCGAGGGGTGCAGCCCCACAGTTCTGCTCAAATATGGAACGTATGCATATTCTTTTGAAGTTAAAAAGTTTGCGATTTTTCAGGGATAGATACCAAGGTTGCTGTGGAGTGAAGCTGGTGACTATTTGTCCCTTCGGTTTTAGCTGTCAGGATCCTTGAGGGGAGAGGAACAGCCTAGGGGGGCTGCAGACAGGCTTGCTCAGGAGTTCAAACCCCCGATCCTCTTTCTCCCTCTATAGAACGAATTTTTGGCAGCTTTCTCGACCCTCTGTAAAATTCCCCGAGCTCTTCCAGAGGCTCTGATAGAACTGAGTAGGGCGGGCGATGGTGTTGACCACGAAGAGTGAAATGTGTCCTGGGCAAGGTTGATGTGTCTCCCTCTGGCACATAAGGGCAGAACCCACAGTAACTTGCAGGCATGATGCTGGCGGGTGGGGGCAGTTATCAGATGGTGGGATAGGCAGGCTTCCGGACAGACAGGCAGAGAGTCCAAGGAGGGAATATAAAATCCCATTCAGTTACGCATCATCTGGTGAGTTGAAGAGGAGTCTCCAAGAAACGCTGATCGCCAGCCCCTCCCCAGTACCCTTCTCTTGCGCCGCTTCTACGCCAATCCGGGTCCCCTCCCCCTCCCCCTCCCATCACACATGCCAGATTATCTTCTTTTTGTGTGGAAGGGGAGAAGCTAGTGGGTTGTCTAAACCGGGCTGGGGAGTCTGGTATGGGGAGGGGCTTTTGGACCTGGGATGTTGGTTAGGAAGGGCATTGAGCACTGGATGGCAGGAGGGAGCCTGTGGTGGGAATGGCGTGAGAGACTGTGCTGCCCACCTTGCAGAGGAGGGAGAATACGTTAGAGCTGTTTGTGAGATGTGGGATGCCACGACTCTGAGAAAGCCGAAGGAAGGGTGGACATGAAGATTGGAGGGTGGAGTTCAGCTCTGATTGATGAGGGGAAGGCACTAGGTACGGACTGAATAATGAAGTCAGGAGAGTCAGAGGTGTGTGTGTGTGGGGGGGTGCATTCAAGAGAGATGAGCTGCAGAGTAAGGTGCAGGTGAGTATGGGCAGAGGCGATCAGGTGCCTCTAACGATGAGGTTTCTGCCGCAAGCTTGGAGGAGGGAGACTGAAAAAGTTGCCCCTCCTACTTCTGGTGAAGCTTGGTTTATGTGAGAGGTAGTCTGGTCCTATCTGGGTGTGTGAGGTGGCTGAGGACACATTAAAATGCCATTGAAGAGAATCCTTAGGATGAATAAAGGGGGCTGGAATGTATATAGGAAGAGACATGAGGATCTGATTCACTGGAAGGGCAGAGGGAAGGAATGAACCTTCATGTTATGTTATATATAGTGGAAAGAATGTATTGCATTGGGAAATGGAAGTTCTGGGTTTGAATCCGACCTTTGCTATTCCCTGACCTTGGGCAAATTGATGATTCCTTTTTCTAGCCTCAATTTCCTCATTTGTAAAATTAGGAGGTTGGACGAGATGGTGCTAAATAAAAGTCCCTTCTGCCTCAGTGATGCTTTATTTCCAGAAGGGGAGGGTAATTTGGTTGTTAGATAACTCCTCTGAATTTGATTTCTATAGGAAGGAGTAGAGGGGTATGGGAGAGTGGGACAGAAGACTTAACACAGTGCTTGGTACATTTTGTTGTTCAGTCTTTCAGTCATGTCTGACTCTTTGTGACAAAGATACTGGGGTGGTTTGACAATTCCTCCTCCAGCTCATTTTGTAGATGGGGAAACTGAGGTGAACAGGGTTAAGGGACTTGCCCTGGGTCCCACACAGCTAAGTGTTTGAGGCTAAATTAGAACTCAGGTCTTCCTGCCTCCAGGCCTGGTGCTCTGTCCATTGTGCCACTGGGCTGCCCCTTCTTGGCACCTAGTAAGTGCTTAATAAATTCTCTCTGTCTCTGTCTCTGTCCCTCTCTCTCTCTGTCAATCAAAAGAAAAAAATCATCTTCCTTCTGAGAGCAATTGGGGAAACACTGTTTTTCTTTTGTTTTTGTTGTTCTCGCCTGTATTGCCCAGTGGCCCCAACTGAAATGTCAGGGCCAGACCTACCCCTTTATCCCTCAGAAGCTCTGTCAGCAGCTGAAAGAGCTGAGGGCTCACAGCTAAGCCTTTCATGTGAGTAATTTGAGAGGTACCATGCAGGACCTACCTTAAAAACCTTTTCCCTTCTCCTGTCACAGAGGCCTGAGTTTTCACCTTTAGAGGTGATATTTAGGAGTTGTGACATCTCTCACTGGGAGCAAGGCCCTCCCAGAATAAGAAAAAGCATCTGAGGGAAGAGGCAGGGATGTAGGAGAGTAGACCTGCAAGTCTCTGAGCTTGGATCCAGCTAACTGGAATCCAATCCTTGTCCTTTGCTTCAAGAGAAGAGAAAAAAGGAAATCCCTCCTGGAGAGGTTTGAGGAGCAGGGCATAAATTCTTGGATAAGAGGCATCTCTTGAGGAATGACAAATGACTGCCTGGTTAGAGCTGAGCTGGGCTGAGCCAAACTGAAGAAAAGGTAGAGAGAGGCCTAGAGATAGTTCAAGTAAGAGGAATGGTAGTGGCACAGATGATGCCTTTGTAATTAAAGCTTCATGGAATGATCATAGACATCTCCACTGTGTCCTGTGAAATAGGTTTGGGGAGGGGTAAGAATGAACAAGAGTCTTCCTAATGCCCCTTCACCTCAGCCCACATTCCCCTCATTCTGGGTCCTAAACTGGGAAAGTTGGGAGAGAGTAGCCAAGCTGACTGGCCTGTCCAGCCTAGTAGCTTGCCCTTCCCTATTGTCTCTGCTCCTACTGAGCCTTTAATCTAAGTGCTGGCAAAGGAGGTGCTAGCTGCGGAGTGGAGGTAGGAGGATAGACGCTCTGGCTGTCTTCCCTTCCTCTATGCCATGAGCCCTGCTGGTTTCCTAAGTTCTTGGCAACTTGAACTGGCTGAGCTTCATGTTTTTCCTTTGCTCTTTCCCATCTCTAACCCTGGTCTCAAGGTTAAATTGCAGGGTGCAAGGTTCTAAGTCCCTAATGAATGGAAATATACTGTGGTACAAGACCCAGTTGGAAAGTAGAGTTTAGTCATTTTTCAGTCTTGTCCAAGTGACCCCATTTAGGGTTTTCTTAGCAAAGATACTGGAGTGGTTTACCGTTTTCTTCTCTAGATCATTTTACAGATGAGGAAACTGAGGCAAACAAGGTTAAGGGACTTGCCCAGGGCCACACAGCTAGTAAGTGTCTGAGGCTGGATTTGAACTCAGGAAGGGGAGTCTTCCTGACTCCAGGCCCAGAACTCTATGATTAAATCCTGATTTTACTTTTTACTAACTGTGTGACCTTAAGCAAGTGACTTAAATTTCTGGGCCTCAATTTCCTCATCTGTAAAATTAGGGGGATTGGATTGGATCACCTCTAAGGCCCCTTCCAGCTAAACCATAGGATTATATTATCTGGAGATAAATTTAGTGGGTAACACAAGAGGCTGTTTATTCCAGAGTAACCCCTTACTTTCTAGATGAAAACTTTAATTCGAAAGGCTAGCTGAGTCAGATAGCAGTGATCTTTGATCTTAGGAGAAAATCAGAACAAAATCTGGTGGGGACAAGGTATTAAAAAACTCGATTTTATTTGCCAAGGCGTAGGTTGAAAAAATGAGGCACTAGGCTTGGATCATACTAAATGTGGTGGTTGTGGGGAGTGAGGCAGTGAGGTGACTAGAATTAGAATTATCTAGCTAGAAAGGTGATCTTAGAGATCATCTAGCCTAATCCCTCCCCTAGCACCACCAGCCTCCATTTTCCAGAAGGGGACACTAAAATCTAGAGAGGGGAATCCATATACAACAAGTCAACCATGGAGTTAATAGCAGAACTGATATTAGAATTCAAGTCTCTTAACCCTCAGTCCATTATTCTTTCCATTAAACCACATTATCTCTCTAAGATCTCTGAGAAAAGGAGGTTGAATTTCCTCCCTTCTCCCTCCCTGCTGTCTAGGGATGGGAGGAAGGGGAGGATGTCTTTGTCCAGTTGCTCAACTTGGCTCAGGTCAGCTCAGCTCTCACCAGGAAGCAACCTGTCAGGGAACTTTATCCCAGGATTCATATCCTGCCCC